CTGCATGGTGCTGTTCCCGAACCAGGTTAAGATGTTTCCCGTCAGGATGCTCTCTATGGTGCAGGAGTAAAAGTTCCTGAGCACCTTGGGGGGCAGTCGGAAATCTCTCAAGCGTCTGATTTAACAGGAAGTAACCTCTGGCAAACCTAGCCCAGCAATCGAAAGGAAACCTTTTTCTCCCACTTGTGCCCAAAATATCTTTGTTTTGGTAAACAGAGTTCATGACACTGGGTGAGGGCTAGAAAATCAAGTGTAGACTGAATTCTTTGCTTTCACTGTCAACTCTTTGTCATAATTTGCTACTAATCTAGTGATCTGTTTCACTCCATCTTGACAACACTTGAGAACAGAATCTTTAGATATTTGAACTCAACTCAAATCTAAATTGCTCCTCCTGTGTTTCTAGTTCAGTGAATCAGTATTAGCCTCTTTCCAACACTCTGGAGTACACTTTTCCAGGAAGGCTGAGCAGTGTGATATTTGTCTCTATAAATTAAGAACTTGCTTTAGAATCATTTTCCACAAAGTCCAGAATGATCAGCCCCATCACAGCTTAAATATCATACTACCATGTTTTCAACTACAGGCTTATTTGCTGTAGAACCAGCTCCTATTCAGGAAAAAGATCCACTCCAGTTTTAAGATTAGATGTCAGAGATTAAATTTTTATAAAACTTGACCCTGAACCATGCTTTAGTTATGCTGGTAGAGGACCTCCTACACCATCAGTACCCATGCCATTATTGGATTGACATGGGAGGAGGGAAAAAAAATACAAGAGGTACAAACTTTTAAAATGCTCATCATTTCCACTCAGCATTTTCATTAAAAGAATATATAACAAACCTCACCAGATGCCATGTTTACTGTTTAATTAATGAATATTTCACAAATTGTAACAATTACTTCAACAAAATCTTTCAACCAGTAATTTTGTATATTCAAAGGTATTTTATTGTTAAACCAAAATGTCTCATTTAGGATGAAAAATGCACCAAAGAGGAAACTAAAGTATGTGTGACCTTGGACGTGCATATGAACATACTATTTAATAAGAATGTGCCCCTATTTTTGCATCACAAACGCTGAGGTTGGGTGGGGAAGAGCATGCTGAGCACTTCTCTAGTTGGTGAGTGAGTGTGTTTTATGAATGTATGGATAAATAGATCAACCAATTCCTACACCCCTGGTCACGCTAGTAAAAAAGAGACGAGAAAAGGAATGATGGCGATGTTAACTGTCTTGATGCATACCTAATTATGCAGATAAGGTTAGGGAAACCTGCAGTCAGATGAGAAGTCACTCGGATGACGAAATGTTTCTCCCGCTGAAAACGGTTAACCTCCATTCCAAACGGATTTTTTTTTTTTTTTTTTTGCACATAAGTGAGGGGTGAAATTGTATAGTGTACTTGCTTTTGTGTATTTGCATGTGTACCTGTGACTGCTTCATGCGGTCTGTGATGGAGACGCTCTGTCATAGCAAGATCTGTTAAACTGTTAAAAATCATTGGGTTTGGTTTTGTTTTTTGTAGATCAAACAAACAAAGAATCACTGTCAGCCATTGAAAGGAGCATCTTCACATTGTGTTTGGATAGAGCCATACCTCGAGAGTCTGACAAGTACGGCACATGTGATTGCCACCTAATAACACATGGAGGAGGCAGCCAGTGGAATAGTGCCAACCGCTGGTTTGACAAGTCACTGCAGGTGAGAAACAACCTGAAGAAATGGATGGTTATGTGGTATTTTGTGTGTGTGGTGTGGGGGGGAGGGACAGGAATTCCCAACTGCCTCCCTCAGTCACCTGATATTCCTTAACTTATTTAATGGGCAACATGGTGGTTCAGTGGTTCACTGTTGCCTCACAGTAAGCAGTTACTGGTTTTCCAATCCATTATCGGCTCGTTGAAACATTGCGGCAAAAGGTCGAGGGAAAGCACCGAGTTTTTTAAATAGACTAACAATGAGGCGGAGTTGTTGCTGCCAGTAACACAAAAGTACAAAGTTGCCAAAGCGAGTGAGAATTAAATAATTTGAAGAAAAGCTATCTGAAGCATGTACAAACTGATACAAATCTTTAATAGGGCTGTCAAAATTGAGAGCAAACAAAACAACTGCTGTATAATGCCCTCCGCTATCTTTTTTTAATTGGTCACATGACTGCATCACATGACTAAAATGCATCATGATTTTAGAAAGTCTGCGTTTTTGAGTGTCCACGCGGGACAGCTCCATTTTAAAATGTATGCGTTTTCAAGAGCACTTTTCAAGAACGCTGCGTTTTTCTTTGGGGAAAGCGCAGTCTTAGGCTACGTCCACACGTACCCGGGTATTTTTGAAAACGCAGATTTTTCTATGCGTTTGCACCTTTCGTCCACACGTAAACGACGTTTTCGGTCACTGAAAACTGAGATTTCTAAAATCGCCTGCCAGGGTGGATATTTTCGAAAACTCCATTTTTGCATTTACGTGTGGACGAGAAAAACGGAGAAAACGCACCGTCAAAGGTGTGCGCCTTTTTTGACATCACACTGTGCGCCACATTATTGTTTCGGTGAAATGAATTTCTACAATACTGTTACTTGTACTCTCTGCAGTGTTTAAATGCTTACATATACACACACAGTTACTGTCTCTCCACACATACAACTCGGTTCTGCTTCTATGCCCCATCTTTGTTTACTGTTTCCCACCGAGGCTTCTAGACTTCTGATTGGCCAACATTTCTACACGGTTAGGAATATATCGCCACCTGTTGCTTTGGCATGTTCCTAGCAGCGTTTTCCTTCATTTCTGCGTTTATGTGTGGACGGGATTATTTTTTTTAAAACGAAAACGGAAAATCTCAGTTTTCAAAAATACCCGTGTACGTGTGGACGTAGCCGTCTGCCTTAGGTATGAGTGTAATTTGTTCTCACTCTGTGGCTGCTGGGATAGGCTTCAGCCCCCCCTGCAACCCTGAATTGGATGTTTAGAAGAAAATGAATGAATGAATTAATTTACTTTAGTATACTTAATGAAGCCATCCAAAATGTTGTCTTTGTAGGTGGGTGGGTATTTTCTTATACAATTTCTTATTAAAATTGTGTAGAAATGGGTTGAAATCTATGCTTGTAATTGCTTTTTTGTCTTCCTTCTACTTCTATCAGTCAATAAACACTAGTGACCCATGCATACCTAACTGTGCAACAGCATTGGCTCCACGTTTGAGGACTGATGTGAAATGTTTCAGATGATGATGAGCTGTTCCTTTCCTTCTCCATGCTGTTTTCTTCCAGTTATTCTAGTTTATACAATAAGGTGCAAATCACTGGTTAAACTGAAAAACTTAAGAATAACCTTCTGTATTTACATACATGAAGGGATCTCTTGATTGTATACTTGACCTTCTCGAGTAATGATGTGGTTAAGGAAAACCCTTAACACAATGTAGCTAAAGAGAAAAATTCAGTGTTCATTTTATTTCGTGACCTTTTACTCTATTCACTTATTTTGCTATCTTTCTGCCTTTAAAAAAAAACCCCAGAAGACCCGTGTCTTGCAATGTAAGTTTAAGTTACATTTTTGTAATTAAAAAGTTCAAAAATGTTACAGTACAGTACAGCGACTTGACTCATGTAGATATCATGGTGTATCTTTTTATCTGTTTTAGTTGACTAAAATGTGTGTTGTTTTTTTTCTCCTCCGTTGTATTCCTCTATACCCGAGTTATGTCCAGCAGACATTCCTGGTTTCTAAGTAAGAAAGTAGTTTTTTCTTTTTTTCTTTTTTCTTCAAATTCCTGAATTATCTGCCAGTTCTCTGAGTATGTGCTATTCCCCCCCAAAAAAAGATTTGTTTCACTGCACAAAAGTGTGTAAAGCAGCTTATTCGTGGGGTATGTTAGAGTTTCTAATCCACAACCATTTAGTGACAGGTAGGATCATAAAGATTTCAAACATGGAGACAACACAATTGCAATTAAATCCTAATACTGTTTCTGTCTTTCAGATAATTGTTGCAGAAGATGGGTCATGGGGTTTAAATCTGATTCATGTTGTTGCTGATGGTGCAGTTAGTATGGCCCTCACTGACTATCTTGTCGCATCCATGTAAGTGGAACCAAATTGTTTTTCGGTTATGTAGATTTAGGCTTTTTCTTTTGTTATTACATTACTGAAAATTCAGATGTTAAATTTTAAAATCATTACATGGCATTAACACAGATGTATGGTTTTCGTGAATCACACAATTTGGGTATATGTATGTATTTATGTGTGGAAGGTATGAATGAATTTAATTGTTCACGCCTGGGTAATGATCACTTGGCTGTGCAAACATCACCTCCTTCATGACTTAATGATTATAGGAGGGCACATGCTCTGTTTGTTTGGCATACTGTATGGTGCCTTTGGTTTGTTACTTCATGTGATATTGTTCCACCAAATGTATTTGCCCTCATTTTTGAAACAGGAAGAAGCCAGAGATGAGGCAAGCTTCCATTCTGCCTTTACCTATGCCCCAGAAACTACACTTCCATGTCACCCCTGATATCAAAGAGATCATTGAGCAGGCTAAAAGGAGCATGGACAGGTGAGTACATATCACTTTTAAATTGTTCAATATGGCTCATGTTGAACAAACATCTGCACATCTGGCACGAAAAGACTGTCACTAACACTAACAAAGCTAGGGCTAAGGCATGGCTATTAGAGCAAATAAAACATTTGGTTATATGTATGAAAAGAATATGGTTAAAGGTTATATTGCACTTAGAAATGATGTTGAAAAACAAAATGGGATGTTACACACAACACGTCTTGTGTGAGTTTTAAAATAAATTTCACAACACAAAGCAACAAATGTGTTTAAAATTGAATACATTGTGGTATTTTTATTGTGTTGGTGTAAACCTGTCCTTCATAAAACTCAAGTGAGCTACAAAAAAGTAGCTTTTGGTCTTGCTGCATAAAAATCTCAATGTATGTAAAGCACCCAATTAATAGATGTGAATGCGTTCAGGTTTTCTGTAAGTAGAATTAATAGTGTGTAATATATCCCTGACCTTTATTACAGTTTGTTACCACAAGTCAAGTATCAACAAAGTGCCTAACCATAATCTCGCCTCGGGTACCAAAATGGCATTTGTGTGTATTCAATGGTTACTTGTGTTTGACACGGTTTGTTATTGCATCTGTATAATGTTTGTTCCATTCCTCCAACTACAGAAACATCCAAAACTTTGATCTGAGTGTTATGGTTTTTGACCACTTTGGAAAAAATTATCTGAAGGCCCACAACATGAGCCCTGATGCTTTCATCCAAATGGCCATACAGCTGGCCTGCTACAGGTGAAATCCTGAAACCTCATGGAGAATGAGATGTGTATGCAGAATGTTGTCAGATCTGACAGACAGATAAGCAGCTCTACTAGAATGTTTCACACATGGAGATATGTGAAATAACACTCTCTGACATGAGATGTCTAGCTTGTTCATAGTTTATAAGCACTTTGGAGAGATTGGGATGCCCCACAATGTATTTCATATGGTATTTAAAATTCTGGCATTTATAGTGAGGAAAAACTGCTGTGATCTCAGCCAGTATGCTTACATTAGCCCAAAGGAAGGAGGAATTACTACATCGCAGAGCCAGTATTTCTCTCATGAGTCAGTAAGTTTTAGAACTTTGTTGCAACGCAGTTTATGGAAAATCTTTCTCTCCCTTCTCTTGACAGGATGAATAAGCAGGTCTGTGCATCATATGAAGCTGTCAGCCAGCGAATGTTCAGGCATGGACGTGTGTCCCTACTGCTTTCGACGACAAGTGTCTCAGCTGCCTTTGTCAAGGCCTTTGATGACCCTGAAAAGCAGGTCTGGCAAGATCCAACTCTTACAATCAGGTTCATAAATATCTGCACAGGGACAGTTGTTGTTTGTAACTTTGAGTGTGTACAGCACTAAAGTGGAGTAAGTCAAGATATGACTAAGTGTAGATTTTCAGGTTTACTTTAATTGAAAGGTTGTTAACGAAAGTAATTGCATCAGCTATTTACCATTTGTTATGCAGGGGTTAAAGGGGTGCCTGTAGAACAGGTCGTCAACTATAAGTGGAAAGTTAGTAGTTTGATTTCTGACTGCTCCAGTCTGCATGCCAAATAGAATAGAAAAGCACTTGGGCACAGAAAAAAGTGCTTGAATGAATGGGTATGAATGAGGGATGTTATGTAACATGTGAGTAGAAGAGCACTATATAAGAAACAGTTCATTTGTCTTAACAGAGGAAGAATTTGATCGCTGACTTTAGTTGCCTTTAAGCATGTTGAGCTATGTGCTACCATCACTTCCTTCCACATCTCTTACAACCTCATTCTTAGTTGCCTGTTGATACTCGTGCTTTTTGGTTGGTTTTTTCTCCATAATATAAACCTTTATTTCATACTTACAGATGTACAGTTAAAACAATGTTGTCATTCTCAGCTCAGTATTTGACACAGTTGAGATGCTGTGTTTGGGTCAGAGTACCGAATGCTTCTGCACAGCAGTTCACCAAACAGACTTCATCTTTCTGTTTTTCACAGAACACGGAGAAGATTGATCTGTTGGAAAAAGCCATAAAAACACACAAAGAGAATATTAAGGCGGTGAGTATCATTTACAACATTTAGTTCTTCAGTTTTGTGGAGTTTATATCTTCTGACAGCAACTGTTCTCTCCATATACTCTGAATTAGTTTAAATTAATTTTCACTCTTGCATGTTGCTCTATCAAATAAAAATTTGTTAAAGTATAATAATAACCTATTCCATCAGTCTTCCAAGGTGTGACAGTGAAAATATCTGACAACGAAAAAGAACTCTAGAGAAGCAAAGAAGACCTGTGTACCTACACAGTTGAATAGTGGGAGCATGGTATACCAATGTACTGATGTGCACCACTGCTTTGGTGGGAAAACTAGACAGGTCTTACCATCAATCTTAGAAAATGGAGTAGATGCAACTATACTATATTACTCACCTGCCTTCACACGCATTGAATTTGAGTGACATCCCATTCTTAATCTATTAACATAATGTTGCCAGCCTTTTGCAGCTTTAACATCTTCAACTCTGCTGCAAAAGCTTTCCACAAGGTTTAAGAGTGTGTTTATGGGAATTTCTGACCATTCTTTTAGAAGTGCATTTATTATCTGGAAGTCCAACTCCTGAAAAACAACCCCTCGCCATTATCCCCCCGCCACCAAACTTTACACTTGGACAGTGCAGTCACACAAGTACCGTTCTTCTGGCAACCATGAACCACTGGCAACCACTGGCTTGGCGAACTCAAAAGGGTGATTAATCACTCAGTACTCTAGAGTCCAGAGGCAGTGTGTTTTACACACCCCTGTCAATGCTTTGCATTGCCCTTGTTGATGTAAGGATTGACTGCAGCTTCTCAGCCTTTCAAACCTATTTAATGAACTTATTTAATCATATTGTAATTTTGTAGATTTTCAGATTTGAATTCAATGAGATTGCTGCAAATATTCATCTAACGGGAATGAATATAAAGCTGGCATGATCGAGGAAGCGTTTTTGTTTGATTGTTAGATAATGTTGAATATTCACATCACTTCAAAAAATTGTAAATGAATACACAGTGTGACTGCATTAGAACCACAAAGTGTGTACTTCAGTGCTACTGACAAGGTCAGAACAATACTGGGCTATTTAACTACTAAGCAACAAAGTGTTTCTTATTTTCATTCTTGTCCTTGTACCTGACCCCCCCC